GCAAATACTATATTTGACATTAAAAAACTGGCAGCCCTAGTTGATGGTAATAGCATTTTGTAAATAGCCAGCCCGGAAACCGAGATCAGCGTCATGTCAAATCTGATACATGTAATCGCTCATCTGAACGACGGTGATGACAACTATGGTGAAATGTTTCCGTATTTACTTATTTTTTTTTATTTGGTTAACAAATGGAATGTAGCGTTTACATGGTTCAGGTAACATAAAAAAGTAACAAACAAACGTTCATTCTAATAACAGTGAACACAGCATGCAACAAGCAGACATGATAACAAATACAAATTAAGAATTTTTACTTACTTAAAAAATTACTTCAAAAAATAAGACAAATAAAATAATTTCCACATTATGACAATAGCTTCTGAAGTCGGGACTTCAATACTTCGATAGGCTCTATCTCAGCACCGACTACAGAATGTGATATTATTTTAGTTCTTTTTTTGTTTTTGAAGTCGATTTTCCCGCTTTATTAAAAGTTCAATAGTTTTATTTTAGTACAATTTATTAACCATATTATGTGTAATAATTAAAACGCACATAGTTGATCTATGACGGGAGCGTGTCGTTTTTGTCGCGCACGTGCCGCCATCTGGCGCAGGAAGAACCACTCGGGCGGAAGGTGGGCTTGAAGCCAACAAGTCAGATATGCTTCACGATCAGGTGAAGTTGACCGAATCGCCAGATGCATCACGTCTGCCACTTGTCATAAACGGACAATTAATCTATATGCTTGCACCAGTGACCAATTAACACGTTTAATTTTAGAATTATTTGCTACAAGCGAGTTGAAAAAACGAAACGAAACTCGCGACGCGAATAACTTAAACAATATTTACCTATTATTTATTTCTAATAAAGTAATTTAATGAAATATAATTTTCTTCAGCCGTGGTAATAGCTGAGAGTCTGAACCTTTTATTTCTTAGACAAGAAACCCGGGTTCAGTCCCGTCAGCATCACTGAAATCATTAAAGGCAAATTTAAGTGCTCATTTATCATAAAATAATATAGGTAATTATGAAGTCTGCCAATTCGCACTGGAGCAGAGCGGTCGAGTCTCTTCTGTTGCACAACCCATCAGAACTTGTAAGAGTTTAGTAGGTATCGGTAGGAAATGTCTCGCTTATTATTTTACATCCCACCCTTTCATCCCTTCAATGTCTTTTTGAGGCGATTTAGTACCTACTTATCATTTTAGATCTTTTAATGTGACAAGAAGTCATAAGCTAACGAGTTAGAACGGCATTGAGATACTATTTCGTTTATAGTTATCTATTTATTTACCCAAATAATTACAATTTCTTTTTCTTTTTCAAATTCTTCATTACTCATTCTACATTTTCAAGTAGCAGGAAGATTTTCGCGCGGCAACATAATGACAAAGTGGGCCGGGCACGTAGGCATGTTAATTGGACGCAATGACCACTGGCCGATGACCATAAAGGATCCCAGCGTGGGCTGAGCGACGCTCCGTCTAACCCACAACCAGGACTGTGATCCGCGAGTTTCCATTATCACCCGCGTAATTGCCTATCTTTACATAGCCGCAGAGCGGGGAAGTAGCTCACAGTACAATGGTGTTAGAAGACGTTGATGCTAGTGGATGTCGTCTATGACGATTGTCTCGTTTCGCCTTGACTTGATGTGTTCATTCACAGCAGTTTTGATTGTGAACGTCAGCTCGACTTAAATAACCCATACGATGCGAATACGAAGCACTAAGACGGGCTAAGTCACAAAATTTGAACACGCAGGTGATTTTGAACTGGCTATCATTTTCTACAAGAAACATTAATGTGTCAATAAATTATCAACGTTGAATTTGAACACAGCTTTAGAACATAATAAAATATTTTACAAATGTTTTATATAAGTGCACAATTCTCTTATTGGTATCAAAAACATCGACTTTTACGAGCTATCTTTATATTTTTAGAATGTAATTGTTGTATAATATAATACACCTAGCTATATTATAAAACAATAAACACCTTTGTAGAGTACAAAATTAACAATGAGTTTTTTTTTTATTGAAGCAAAATACATACAAAACAGAAAACATGCATAAACATAAAGTATCTTTTAAACTGATTTCAGTGTAAATACTTTTGTCAAATAGACTGCTACATGTAAGCATTTAGTAGGTATTAAGTTTTTTTAAGGGTTCGTAACAAAATTTAATACTCTACTAAAATATATTTACATTAAAATGATTGTTTCAAAGGTTTTGTCATACATCCCTCGTTAAGCCGATATCCTGTCTTTTTCGGTTAATGGGTGAGTTTACTCAGTATTGAACTCCTAAAACGGCTTTAATCTACTTCGGAGCGGCGTCTATTTCGGTCGTTGTCCATCCATCGGGAGCTTGTGATACGCGGCTATTCCGGGCGAGGCAGGTTTTCGGGGAATGTCAACAAACCGACGGGCACTCATTCAATGAACTCTATACATGCGACGTCGGTGGCGGACCGGTCGGGTACCTATTCATAAAAATATGCTCCCAGAGGTTCAACGGGTAGTTGCCGTTGATCGCGTTTGCTTTTTTTCTAGGTCTTTTATGGCGTATGGAATGGATCACGCACTATTTTTAATCCTTGTTTTGTGAAACGATGATTTACAGAATAATAAAACCGCCCTTTCTGAAAGATTTCATTCAATACTGCAACACAACTTTCGTTACATTTATATAAACAATCAATTCTTTTTAAAATAATTTCAGATGTTCTATCTTTATTCTCGGACTAATTTAAATGTTATGCATTCTTATCTGTATTGCACAACTTATCGAAAACATAAGAAAGAGTGGGCAAGCATACAATTGTACATAATATTTACTTTTCAATTCGTAACGTATTTACACAATATCGTTACATATAGTAGGCACAACATGCCTAGCTATTTAGTTCATTTAGCAACTTTAAATTTTTTCCATTTGCGTCGAAAATTTAGTCAAAATTACAATCATTAATGTATTGTTAGGTCTACGTGCGGCGGATTTAGATCGTTAACAAAATAAATTCATTATTGAAGACCCATAATTACTAGCAGTTTAAAGTTTTTACGTTGATTAAGAAATACTACATAAATAGCAATATAACCAAGAAAAAATTAATGTTCGTTAAATAAAAAACAGAAAATAAGGATTTAGTTTCGTATAATTTTCTTTTAACAAATGATCAATAGAAAACTGTATAATTAACAATGTAGCGTCTTAACAGATACTTCAAAATTATTAGTGATGTAGGTAATATTTTACATATACTTTGGAATGTTCATATAAACCATCTCACATGAATCGACACAACATGGAAAACACTTCACATCTGTTTGCTAGATACCTGCACCAGCAGCTGACAAATTGGTGATATAAGCTATGTCAACATGTGAAAATTCCATAGGAATAGTACTTAAGTTATAGAATAAAACCTCAACAAATTGACAGCTCTGAGGCAGGCCGCTGTTGCAGCTCACAAGTTTTACTTTTTTTTTGTTTCCCTTAAGCAATGTCAACCACAAGAATATACACAAGTAAATTTATAGAATTATCTGATAAATACCAATGTATACAGAACATTAATTACTTAATGAAGCTCAAGCCAAAAGCGTAAGGTTACAGATATACAAAAGATAGCAGTTAGGGCTAGTTTTAGATTAAATATTAGTAAAAAATTTAGACAGATGGTATAAAAGTGGGTTCACACTGCTCAAGGGACATATTTTGTACACCATCCAATGTTTTACGATTTTTACAAGACGAGATTCATAATGAGATTATCATAAGGAATAAGATATGCGAGGCCGTGCTTAGCAAGTTTTTAAGATGCAACCATTTTTGTTAATAGGCAACTTGGATGTGGTTGATACTCAAGTTTCTTTTTAACTAAATAAAGCAGTCAATAAATAAACGTTTATAAATATCTAATAAATACCTACACGGGCTATATTTACAAGAAGCCTGTTTCGTTAAGGACACATTCAACCTTTAAACGAATATAATACAGCTTTATCCCAGAGGGATATCTGGTATAAATTAAAAAGTAAAGCTGCCGGCTTAAGATTCGTATTACAAAATAATACTGACACCAGTAAAATACTCTATCCGCGAGATGGAATGTGCGAGCATGTGCCATGGCGCTGCACATAGGAACTCTGCTACTCGCTGCCCTAACAAACTTTTAAATTCATCACAATTCTATTCACATAGAACAAAAAGTACTAATAAATACAATAAACATTGATTCACAAGTATCTTAACTATGCATGTTGCAGCCACTAAGAACCTAGTCTGGCAACACGCATCCCACCTCACTGTAAGGCTTTTTACATTGAACCACTCTATATATTTAGAACATTATTTTTCATTTAACATTTTATTTTTATACAAATATACTAGGGAGTGATAAGTGAAAAGCTTCACAGTGAGGCTCAACCACTAAACATTTCCTACATTTTAAAACAATAACATGCGGCATCTGCAATGGAACCCAAGGCACCGACAGAAACAACATTCTCCTGGGATGGAACTACTTGTATGATCTGCCTTCCAATATGAACCTAATAGGTTATTATTCATAGTTTTGTAAACAAATTGATACAAGTAATTCTATCCTCATGAGCTTCCGCTCCTGTATTGCATAATACAGAAGCAACAACAATATAACAAACCATTTCTACTTGAAGCGAGTAGCATAAGGTACATTTCCATAGATGATCCACACATCCATTACACTGAATATGAACAAAATAATACAGCATACAATTCACATGTAAACATATAACGGGAGACTGAAAATTTACTTCCACACAACGCAACAGTAACTCAGATCTCTATATACAAAAGAAATTCCTTCCAAATAAATTATTATAAGCTTCGTAAAATAATTATCACATAAATTTTTCTTATCTCCGTCCGCTCCACATAACTTAACACATAATCTATATGTACACTGGCAGTCTGTCCATCCGTGGCAGAGGCACTAGCGCGCGCACAGGTGCACACGGCCGCGCGGCGCTGCCACGGCCACCAGCTGCACGGGGGGCGAAGGCCCGCACTCCTCGCCGAAGAGCGGTGCCTTCGCCCGCCGGTGCAGCCGCACCCACGCCCCGAAGCAGACTAGAATCGCGAGGAACACCGCCACGGTCGCGCCGCCGGCGATCGACGCCGTCTCCATCATCAGCTGCCGGCTCGTGAGCACGTACGAGTCGTCCAGGTCCTTGAACTCGCAGCGCTGCCCCACGAAGCCACTCCGGCACTCGCAGTTGTAAATGGGGCTGTCCGAGATGACGACGGTGAAGCAAGAACCGCCGTTCAGGCAGTAGTACTCCGAGTAGTCGGGCTCGCACTTGAAGGTGGGGAAAGTGACGTTCAGGCGGGGTTGGGGCTGCGGCTGAGGCGGCGGGCGCTGCGGCCGCGCGGGCCTCGCCGGCCGCTTGGAGATGGACGACGAGCACGCGCCGGCCAGCGCCCAGGCCGCAGACACCACGGCCCACCACACTACCAACGACTGCATTGCACTGTTCCGCACAGTCCGCACTGTCCCGACGCCGGCTCGCGGTACGTGCACGATTTTGACATTGGACGGTGACTTATACGAAATCCGAGAGGCGATGACATGACCGCTTTCGAATTTCGAACTCGAACCCTTCGCTCGCATCCGCGTCGGCGGTCCGCCCAGACATGTTTCCTGTGTCAACTTTTTTTACGTCGACGATCACTCGCTCATGACGGAGGCGCGGTTTCTATGAGCGCCCGAGATATCGCATCGATCCCTCCACGGGCATGTCGAAAGCGAAACACTCGATAAAACTTGAACAGTTTGTTTCGTGTTTTGAAATTATTCACGGAGCACATACACACAATGTCCCGTTCGAAACGACACACACAAAATGGTGCTGAGCGGATCGGAATCACACTGCGCTCGACGAGTTGTCTATGCGCGACTGACGGAAAGCGTCTACTACATCTGCCATCTGCCGACGAGAATGAATGCGGTGAACTCTCGCTATAGTGTGTTAGTGTGCGCACTCGTCCCTACACAATGGATGCACACAAACATGACTTATTTGTATTTGTTTGCGTAAACCGTTTTTATTTTGTATTCGACAGAGATAAAAAAATCTATGGTAAGTAATTATAACAGGCTTTAAGTATTACCATCTTTTTACTGCAATTTTGAACATAAAATATTTTGTATAATATATAATACCATATTATAGATAACATATAATATTAATGTTACAATGAATTTCTTAATACTTATTGCCTGAGAGTTAAGATGAACTCACATTTGTGCGCACCGTACGCGCCGAATTTTAGAATTCGTTGTATGAAATCATATGACACCTCGCACATTACACCCGCGCCGTACGCACATCACTAGATAAATTTATCTACTCATATGCCGTACGCGCCGAATTTTATAAAATGCGCCACTTACATACGGAATTCCGTTTCAGGATTCCGTTTCGATATTCCGATTCGGAATTCCGAATACAGCAAATCCATATAGCATTAAGGAGCCGTTACAGACGTACGGTAGTTTTCCGTTCAAAATTTTGCGGGTGAAACGGGATTCCGAATGTGTGTGGCCGACCCGTTCGGAATTCCGTTTCGGTATTCCGTTTCAGACTTAGTTGATTTTCCACTAAAACTGGTGGTTTCGACTTACGTGATAATTTTTACATTTTTATAACTTTTAATTAATTCGTAGTTAAGTATAAACAATTTGAAAAAAATTTTTGCATCAATTATCAGTATGAATACTTAGTAATAAATTATTTAAATACTGAAATAAAACAAAATTGATAGTTAAATTTAATTCAAACACCCAATTATACCTGATTACTTAATTATCAATTAAAATACTTACCTCAAATATACAATGAGTATATTCTCTGGTTCAATTGGCCTTCTAAATCTTGACTTTTCCATAGAAAGATATGGTTTTAGTATATATATAGCAATTCTTGAAGTTTCTTGTATGTTAAAAACAAATATCTAAAAATAATTTATCATCATCTAATAAGTATTTAAATAAAGTATAATTTTTTATTATTATTTATTCTTCATACAATCGTGTTTTTTTTTTCTCCTTCCTCTGCCAAAAAGCAAGCTAATACTTTATTTTTTTTCATAGTGATTTCGAGAGAAAAAATTGCAAAAGTTGTTGGCTTGTTGGATTTACGTACGGCGCGGACAGTGCGTACGAGTAAATGTGCGAGGCCATCAGTAATATTCGGCGCGTACGATGCGTACGGTGCGGACTAATGTGCGTTCAGCTTTAATTTAATTATTTTATTTTATGTTTTTGGAAAAACTGACAATTATTTACAACCAATAGTCGTGATCTAGTATTTCATAATCGATGCTTACGCATTTCACAATATTATATTATTTTACTATGATTAATCAGTCTGTTTCTGATCTATTAATTAATTGATTTGACTCTATAATTAATAGATAATTTTTGACATTGAACGTTTTGAGAAATTCAAAGCTTTTTATAATAAGATGAATATTGAATTCATCGTTGTGTTTTAAGATTTATAAAAATATCTATATTCTCCGATTGGACCTGTTTAAAAATAAAAAAGTTTGCTTTGCCCTAAACCTAGACGTATCGATTTCATTTTCTTCTCACTTCATTCAGTTTTTTTTTTATAGGATAAGGGCGACAAACGAGCACACAGTCCACGTGATGGTAAGTGGTTGCTGTGGCCCATAGACATCTACATTTATCCTCGATTACGAATATCAAAATGTAGATGCGTTGTCACCCGTAAGGACTAAGATGGAATGCCTCCTTTCCAGTAAAAAGGGTCTCCAGTTCTCTACACTCACCATACGAAACACAGCAGCATTAAGCTGCTATTTTACGCTGGTATTCTGTGAGAGCGTGGTCCTTCCCCGGACAAGCCGACCCATTCGTGTTACAACTATACCAGAAATATAGCTGCAGCATGGCTCTACCACGTATGTCAACTTTTCTTTTTTAAGAGGAGTATTCAAATTTTGCAGCGAGAAATTGATGCGTGATAATTGATAACGTACCCATAGCTAAAATTATCTATACTTGTATTAATTAATTGCATCTCTCCTTGTCTTTTATATATTATGAAATATTATGACTAATGAAGTGATAAATTTACAACAAAACTTACACTGAGCCAGAGGCCAGAGTACATTCTTGTTGCACTGACTTACTGTCATGTTTAGTCATGGACATATAAAAAAAAGATATACGTCTGTGTATGCGCTTTCTGTATTTTTATCCTTTTTGCTATGTACCTAAGCAATTGATAAATATTTAAATCATAATTTATGATATTTTTGAATTCTCTAAGATTGTTATACAGTATAAATACATATAAATATGATAAAAATGCGTAAGATAAAATAAAATAAAATATATATTAATCGTATAAAATATAATATATATGTAATACGTAATTTAAAAATATAAAATAGGGAAGCTCGATATTTATCGATAGTTGATAAACACCGATTTTTAACGGTGATACATCGACTTTTTACATCAATGTTAAGTCCTTGAAAACATCGACACATTGATATTACGAGAATAGTATCTGAACATCGATATACTCTACGCCATTGGTATTTATTACTTTTATGTCAAGTTCTAGGATCCATTTATCTAAAGTTGAAGAAAGTAGCCAATATACGTTTATGCTGCACAGCGATTTTGACAGGAATAAGACTTTTTCAAAAGTTGTTCAACATCTGTATCAACAAAGGAACAGATAAATTTTTTGATGTTAAATTTTTAAAGTCGTGCTGTTATAATATTATACTTCCTGCTACAAATAATGTAGGAATGGTTCCTTTAAATAAAATTGTTTTTATTCTAATTTTTATTGTATATTTCTCAAGAAGATGTTTGCTGCAAACTGTTGAGTTCTTCTTTGGATTCCAACCAACCCGTCCAATTAACGTTAACCATATTTGCTAATTATAGAATCCGGAGGGAAACTGTTTAACAAAAGGCAAAATAAAATTACATTTTAAAACGCAAACCGAGGATTTATTTTCTTGTTGTGTGCGCAAGTCTATCGATTTATTATAAACATTCAAGATAAATATCAACATTAATTTATAATTTCAACTATATCAGTTGAGTCAATCCCTAGCGTACATGTAAAATATTTTGTATTAAAATATATTTACCAAATTCATGCAAATTATCAACAATGTGACGTTTTTCTTTGAAAAATTTAAAAATTAACAAAATAATTGAAAACATTCTATATTTTACACAGTATTAAACATAAATTTTAACTAAAAATAAACGCGTAACATAACATTGATGAAGTGTTAAGAATTCACCTGTGAAAGGTCCAATTATCAGGATTATTTCTATTATTAACACCACAGTCACTCGCAGTCTAAGTAACCATTTTGCAAAAAGTTACTTAATAGAAATAACCACTGTTACACTCTAAAAAATTACAATACATCTAATAGCTATTACTTGCATGCCGAATTGTGCCGATCTATCATTATTCAAAATCGGTTACAGAGTCATGGGATTTGGTATCCTTTTCTATCTTGCATTTTTGCCATAAGGGATTTTCTTCTCCCTTGCACATTATGTAGGTCTATACGTCAGTATATTCTAAGTCTATGGTCCAGACCCCACCCATGACTTAGGCTGGCTTTTCACTATGGGATATAATATATATTATATCCCGAAATATAAATTATATTCCGCGATTGGCTTTCACACTGTGAGATATATCTTTTAACCAGTGTGCATTCGCCATTGGTCATTGGATTACCCCCCTTTACCCCGTACACCGTTTGCGGGGGCGCGGAATGATGTGCGGGGTACAGGGGGCGAAATATAATATGAAAATATCGCTCGGTCTACCGAAAAAATATTTATAGCTTGAGATGTAATATATATTATAGCTCAGTGTTCCACAAACGGTTCCATAGGAAATGTATGGTGAGCGATATTAATTTATATCTCGAGATGTAATATATATTATATTATATCCCATAGTGAAAAGCGGGCTTTAGAAGTATATTTATATCTCTATGGAGAGCACCACAGGCACTTGACACTTGACAGCTAAGTCTATGTTTGACAGTGACCAGTGACCACAAACACAAAATACTTTTGATGACGAGCCGAGTGAAAACGTAAATAAAGTAAAAAATCAAGCTTGCTAGTTTATTGAAGGATTTAATGATTTTAAATAAAAAACAAACAAAATGTCAGAATCTTCTAAATCTAAATTATCTTTGAAATTAAATCCGTCACCAACGTTGCAGTGTAAAAATCTCCATGAATATTTAAAAAGTCGTACGCCTCAATTTTTAGAAACTTTATACAACTATCCAACAATATGTTTAGCAGTTTATAGGTGTGTATATTTCTTTAGTTGAATGCCGTACAAGTTAAGGCTAATTTACTAATAACGCAATTTTAAGGTTAAGAATACCCCTTAAATTGATTGAAGTGACCGGAATTAGATGAAGTATTTTTTGCAAATGAATTCAGAAGTTGATATTATATGAGGCGTTACAATCCACTTCTTACAATAGAATAATTGTAAGGAGGATTTGCCATTGTCACCACACATGAATGGCTTTATATGGTTTCTCATTCGCTATACTTCACAAGAGCAATAG